TCTCTCTCTCTTTCTCTCTCTATAAATATATATATATATATATATATACTTTGCTGGTTTTTGTGTTTCTCTAGAGAACCCAATCCAACACAACCTGGCAGTGCTTCTGTAAACATTACAGCTTTGGCAACCTTATGGGGCAGTTCTACTCTGTCCTGTAGGGTTGTTGTCAGTCAGAACCAGCTCCATGGCACACAACAATATAAACTAGAAGCAATGATGCAATCTGAGAAATACCTTGTAATAGTGTTACTGTTGTTGTTGTTGGGTGTCATCAAGTCGATTTTGGTTAGTTGTCTAGGTGGCTCCATGTGACAGAGGAGAATTGTCCTTAATGTTTTCCTGGTTACTCCTTACAGAAGGAGATCATCAGGTCTTTCACATCAGAGATGTTAGAAAAGTTTGAACCACCAACCTTTTGGTTAGCACCTGAATGCTTAACCATCATGTCACCGGGGCTCCTTTCCTTATAGTAGTATGAGCCCTTGCTATGTATTATTCTTCAGAGTTCCTATCCCATTTCAGTCAAAATACTCACCATACATAACTCATTTAATTCAATCTCAAAAGCAGATCCCATTATTATGCTCATGTTACTGTTGGGGAAACTGAGGCAGTAGCCAGTAAGTGTCAGACCTGGGATTAAACCCAGGCTGTCTGGTTCTAAAGTCAGTGAAACTAACCAGTATGGCACACTGCTGCTTGTTAAGAAAGCTAACTACTGGTCATGCTCAAATGTACCCCTGCATCATTATATCCTCTTATGTAGTCCACTGCATCCTAAGTTGATTAAAATCCTTTAAAATCAGATGTATCTTTGTATCACAGGCATCACCTCCTGTAGGAAGCCTTCACTCTTGATATTTTTAATTTCTAGTAGTATTTCTCATGGTTTATACTATATTTGTACAATTTTGATTATTAAATTTGGCTATAGATCCCCAAGGACAAAACCATGTCTAATTCTGCATGTAAACAGATGTTCAAGAAGTATTTGCTGAATGAATAAATGAGTTTAGTATCCTCGAGACAGCAACTTTTCTCCACTAACTCAAACAGTTATTTGTCCACTCTACATATTTCCCTAGGATTTTAGTAGCCAGCTTCTTTGAGTCTACATTCCATCATGATGTACCAAGGACAGAGTTATATGCACCTGGCACCATCCTAACTCTTGTTGCATCCAAGAAGGCTGAGAAGCAGATAAATCCTTTGACATTTTGACCCTACCAGTGTATGTTTAGAGTCCTTATTTATATTTCAAACAGATTTCTTTAAAAATTCGGTAAGATATTGTTAAAAATCATCTTCAACAAGAAGCCAATTAATAAATATAATTCCTTGGTCAGTTTTCTATAACCATTTCAATTATTTCCATTCTCTTTTACTGTTTATCCCATTGGCAATCATTCTTTTCCACATAAATTTTATAGCAAAGATATGATTCAGTCATGAATATTTTTGCCCAAATGAGATATTATCAGTAACCTCTTCATTCATTAAATGTTTTCTTTTGTGGCCATTCTTCCTCCCTCACCCAGTCTCTATAAAGAATATCTGCCAAGTATACTTGGCAGATTGAAATTTTACCAAAAGCATTTAATTCTTCACTTAATTTTATTTAGCATTAAACTTCACTTTTTGTAGTTTTAGCCACTGTTAGTTTTAATTTGGACTATTCTAACAGTAATATCGGGAGCTCTGGTAGCCTAGTGCCTAAGGCGCTTGACTGCTAACCAGAAGGCTGGCAGTTCAAACCCACCAGCCACTCCTCAGAAGGAAGATAGGGCAATCTACTTCTGCAGTGATGCTGCCTCAGAAACCCAAGGAGGGGTCACTATGAGTCGGATCCGACTCAACAGCACATAACAACAAGAACAACAGTAATATAATTATAAAATGGGTAAAACACATCTTGCTCTTGTTAGGTGCAGTCAGATAGGCTTCAGTTCATGGCAACTCCATCTGACAGAGTAGAAATGCCTCATAGAGTTGTCTAAGTGGCCAAGTCTTTCTCCAAAAGAGCCACTGGGTGAGTTCAAACTGCCAACTTTTGGGTTAGCAGGTAAGGACTTAACCACTGTACTACCTGCACTCCTTAAAAGACAAATGGTTTATATTTATTTTTCTCCAGTACATATGAGCAAGCACCCAAGTATGCAATGGAGTCAAAAGAAAAAAGTCCAAATGTCCTTGACTGTCAAGGACAGTCCCTTGTCAAAACTGTGGGCTACAATAGGGGGTTCTGGTACATGATAATGTCTGCTGAGTTGAAGCTACAAGAGTTGTCCTTTTCATTAGTGAGCTTAATCAAGTTTGGCCAATGGTTCCTTTACAATTGAGTGACCTGATTTGGAATGTAATTCCCTCAATAATATATAAATCACACATACACAAAGCACATGGCAATCGGATATTAGAATACATTATTCTCCACCAACCTGGCTATAGATTTCAGATGCTCTCTTGGCCCGAAGCATATCAGGAATATCCATGCTTATTTGCATCCCTTTCCCTTTAATTTCATTTTCTAAGTCTTTTTTATATTCTTTCTATGAAAACAGAAAAACCTTTTCAGAGCTTTGTCTAACCATCCATAGCAGTGTAGGTACTTATATATCTGAGTCTCAAAGACACTATGTATGTAAGACATGTCTGCAAATAAATAATTTCAAACATTAGAATTACCATTATACTGCACATTCACATAATTTCCACCTTAATACTCTATTTAAAAAGGTTTTTTTGCCCTAATTTTGGTTATATTACTTCCTTACCTGGCTGACCATTTCGGATGCTTTCTTAGCTCTCTGGATATCAGGAGTGTCTGTGCCCACCTGCATGCCTTTCCCTTTAATTTCATTCTCCAGATCCCTTTTATAGCCTTTCTGTGCAAAATAAGACATGCAATTAGAACTATAAAACAATCTGAAAACTTTTATTGAAAAACTGTAATGTCATTTGACATCAGGACCATGTCTTCAGGAGATAAACTAGAGCCTTACTTCTAACTACAGAACTAGAAAAAGTTTTAACTTATGGTAGGAACATGACTTGGAGTGACTTCTCACAAGGTTTGAATATGATGAAATTGATGAATTAGTGATTAATATATTGATAACTCAATTCTTAAGTATCAATAAAATGTGGTTGTAAAATTGCAACTTTTGCTAAGTGGTAAATTGTTGATTGCTTTCCTAGAATCCAGAGCCTTTTTTCCAGTTGACAGCTCCCTGATTTACTACTGGGCAATTCCTTCCTTGTCAATTCTAAACCATTCAGCTTGAGTGGGATTGGTCCAAGCCTTTGGGCCCAAACCTAAAAAAAAAAAAAACCAAACTCACTGCCGTCAAGTCAGATCCGATCCATAGCGACCCCTCCTTGGGTTTCTGAGGCAGCATCACTACAGAAATAGGTTGCCCAATCTTCCTTCCAAGGAGCGGCTGGTAGTTTTGAACCGCCAGCCTTCTGGTTAGCAGTCAAATGCCTTAGGCATTATGCCACTAGAGTTCTGATGGGGTTAAACCCCAACCCTGTCCTAACGTGACAGATTGAGTGACTGACGCATTTCTTCTTCCACAGGAGACAGCGGAAAAAACTATCTTTCCTGCTGGACATGAATGAAGGATGTAGCCTCTCAGAGCAGCTAACAGCTTCTTTGCAAATACCTAAAGAAAGCCGGCCTGAGAACTGAAAGACAGGAAGCAAATCTTGATCACATTGTTTGAGCCCTAGACTGAGCCATGCCTAAGGATAAATTCATTCCTACACTGTTTAGTTAGGGGGGAAAAAAAAAAAAAACCAGTTACAATCAAGTCAATTCTGACTCAGGTGATCTCATGTGCTACACAGGAGACTGTTTTTCACAGGGTTTTGGGTTTTTTTTTTCTTTTCTTTTTTTTTTTTTGCTGTAATCTTTAGAGAAGCAGCTCACTAGGCCTTTTTTCCCACAGTACTTCTGCTGGGTTCAAATAGTCAAACTTTTATGTTAGCTGTTGTTGTTAGGTGCCATCAAGTTGGTTCCAACTCAAAGTGATCCTATGTACAACGGAATGAAACACTACCCAGTCCTGTGGCAGCCTCACAATCCTTGTTATACCTGAGCCCATTGTTGCAGCCACTGTGTCAATGCATCTTGTTGAAGGCCTTCCCCTTTTTTGCTGACCCTCTACTTTACCAGGCATGCTATCCTTCTCCAGGGAATGGTCCCTTCTGACAACATGACCAAAATAGGTGAGATGAAGTCTGGCCATTCTCACTTCCAAGAAGCATTCCAGCTGTACTTCTTTCAAGACAGATTTGTTAGTTCTTCTGGCAGTCCATGATCACAAATCATTTGTGCCACCCAGAGACCTCCTTTAGTCAGCAACAATAAATTACCTGCTTTGCTTAACCCAACTTGAGTTAGATTCTGTTACTTACAAAAAAGTCACAATTGACACAAACATATTTTAAGACACTCTTGTCACATTTAAAAACTAATAAACATAAAATTCAGCAAGATGCACACTTCTATGTGTACTTCTCTATATTTATATCATTCTTTAATAAAAATCAGGGCTTTGAACCATTCAAAATGGTTCAGCAATTGCCATCATAACCAAGGGCCACATATCATTGCCTAGCAACAAAATCTGTTGCCCATAGTATTTTGACCCAAGCAGGAAATAAGTAGCTGTGGACCACTCAAAGATGATGGCTCTTTGAATGTGTGTTGCTCTCCAGAATCCTGTCCATAAGCTAACCTCCCACACGAGGCTCTTGAGACATTCAGAGGAAGGACTGTGGCAGGACTTTTGAAGAACATTATCAAGAGAAGAGAATTTGGAGAGTTTATTTAAGTTATTGCTTAAGGGGTATAAATTTTCTGTTTGGGACAATGGAAAACATTTGGAAATAGGTAGTGATGATGGTTCCACAGCCTAGTGAATGTAGTTAATGTCACTGAATCTTCCACTTAAAAAATGGTTAAAATGGCAAGTGCTTTGGTAAGTACATACATACATTCACTAGCCACTCCTCAGAAGGAAGACTGGGCAATCTACCTTCATAGAGATAACACCTCGGAAACCCAAGGAGGGGTTGCTATGAGGTAGAATTGACTAGACAGCAGTGATTTTATACATATAAACAGATATATAGGTATATATATTTACATATACATATATAAGTATATATCTTTCCCAATAAAATTTATTTAAAAAATAAAAAATTCCAAAATATAATTTTCAAATAGCTTTCAAAATTATAATTCTTACCATGTATGTATATGCTCAGTTTTTAGTAAAATTTGTTTAAAATCCCCCAAAGAAGCCACTCATTTGAAGGACAATATATGTAGAAACTGAGGAAGTGAGCACAGATGCCAAAAAGGAACCATAGAAGTATGTCATTTAATTTTCCACTATAAATTTCAAATCTAAAATATTCTCAAGCACACAGAGACTACATAGTACACTAATTATTTATTGTTGTATGACAAAACACCCAAAACTTAGAAGACTTAAAAGAACAACAAGATAGTGGCTGTATTCCAAGGGGGTAAATCTAAATAGACAACTGCTTTTAGACCCTCTGCTAGAGTCAAGTTTGCTAAAGTCCCACTAACTTAAAGTCACTTAGTCAAGACCATAGATACTGGAAGGTTTAACTATCTGGGGCCATTAGTATAATAATAATAGAGCTGATTCCTCTATGTCTATTTTCCTCTCAGATTCTCAATAACTAAATTTGCACTATTTTTCTAATACAACCCAAAGAACATAGAGAGATCTAAATCAGCATATCCCTTTAAAAAAAAATTGGAAATAAATTTTATTTGCCTTTGGTTATAACACACGAGTCTGAAAATCTATGAAATGAGTTAAAATCTTAGCAAAGTTTGCTCAATTTTTAAAAAAAACTTTCTGAAGAGTTTTATTTATCAAATCATTTGGATATATATTGCTTAGGTTTTGTTTAGTTTTGTTAATATTTTATTGTGGTTTAGGTGAAAGTTTACAGAGCAAATTAGTTTCCTATTCAGCAGTTTATACACAGATTGTTCCTTGACACTGGTTGCAATCCCCACAGTGTTTCAGCACTTTTCCATTTTCAATTTCATTTGCCCATTTTCATTCACTCATTTTCCCTGCCCCTTTCTGTCTCCTTAACTTTGCTTCTAGGCAAATGCTACTCTTTTGGTATCATATTTTTTTCTGAAAAACATGCTCCTCTTGGGTGTAACTGTTCACTTTATAAGCCTGTCTTTTATGTGGCTCAAAGGTGGCCACTCTGGGAGTGGCTTCAGTTCTAAGTTAGAAGCGCATCTAAGGCCCAAAGTCTTGGTGGTTTCACCAGTCTCTGTTACATCAGTAATTCTGGTCTTCTTTACAAATCTGGATTTCCTTCTACCTTCTTCTCCCACTCCCACAATCCAGCACCTTTGATTGCAATCCTGATCACAGCAGTCAGTGTTACTAATTGGGCACCATGTAGTTCTTTTCATCTCCGATTAGTGGAAGCTATGGTTCATATGGTCAATTAGGCCTCTGGACTAATTGTTTCCTTGAATCTTTGGTTTTCTTCACTCTTCTTTGCTCCAGACAAAAAGAGACCAATAGTTGTAACTTAGAAAGCTGTTTACAAGCTTTAAGATACCAGTTGCTACTCACTAAAGTAGGATGTAGAACACTGTCTTTATGGACTATGTTATGCCAATTGACTGAGATGTCTCCTGAGATGTGGTACCTAGCACACAAATCCAGTATCTCAGTACCAGGAAGCATATGATTATGGCTAAGAGATTTTCATGACTGTGCTCCATGTGCTCTATTATATACATGGGTGTATTTGCAGCATCCACCACTCGTCTGTCAGTTTGTCATACTGTGGTGGCTTGTATGTTGCCATGAGGCTAGAGGCTATGCCACCGGTATATCAAATACCAGCAGGGTCACCCATGGTGGACAATTTCTGCAGAGCTCCCAGACTAAGAGAGACTTGGAAGAACAAAGGAGCTATCCACTTATCAAAGAATTGTCCAGTGAAAACCTTATGATTAGCAGTGAAACACTGTCTGTTATATTACTGGAAAAAATTAATAAACAGTCCTGAAATACTGTCTGCTATAGTGCCAGATGATGAACCCCTCAGGTTGGAAGGCACTCAAAATGTGGCTGGGGAAGAACTGCCTCCTCAGAGAGAGACTACCTTAATGACATGGATGGAGTAAATCTTTCAGGACCTCCCTTTGCTGATGTGGCTTGACTCAAAATGAGAACAAACAGTTGCAAATATCCATTAATATTTGGAATATGGAATGTATAAAGTATGAAGCTAGGAAAATTGGAAGTTGTCAAAAATGAAATGGTACGCATAAAGATTGATATCCTAGGCATCAGTGAATTGAAATGGACTGGTTTTGGCCATTTTGAATCAGACAACCATATGATCTACTATGCTGGGAGTGACGGATTGAAGATGAATGGTGTGGCATTCATCATCACAGAGAATGTTTCAAGATCTATCATGAAGTACAATGCTGTCAGTGATAGGATAATATCCATATGCCTACAAGGAAGATCAGTTAATACTACTATTATTCAAATTCATGCACCAACCACCAAAGCCAAAGATGAGGAAATTGAAGACTTTTACCAACTTCTACAGTATGAAATTGACCAAACATGCAATCAAGATGTGTTAATTATCACTGGTCACTGGAATGCAAAAGTTGGAAACAAAGAAGAATCACCAGTAGTTGGAAAATATGGCCTTGGGGACAGAAATAATGCTGGAGATCATATGAAAGAATTTTGCAAGACCAATGACTTATATTCATTGCTAATATCTTTTTTCAACAACATAAATGGTGGCTATACATGTGGACTTCACCAGGCAGAGTACA